TCTTTGCCCTTCGGCGGACACTGAAGGCATTGCCAGAGAGGAGGGTCCTGGAGAGGGAGGCCTTGCCAACTCCTCTCCTTCACTCTCGGAGTCCTCTCCTGCCGATGACACAGGCTCAGGTAACGGAGCCACAACACTAGCAACCTGAGCAGAGACCAGTCAGATGTAGAGGGCATCATGCTTAGAACAGTTTACAGCAGGGGTGTGAAACTCGATTTCATTGAGGGCCGCATCAGGATTGTGTTTGACCTCGGGAGGTCGGAGTGGGCATGGCTGGGGTGGGTGTGGCCAGCTCGACGTCAGAGAACTTTCTCGTGAGAACCAAGGTCATATCTACTGGCAAGGGATAAGGTTGGGGAAGGAGTGCCTAGGGAGGCCGCCAATTAACCCTATTGGCCAATGTGACCTGTGACGCTTGGGGATGGGCTTATTTCCTAGTTTAATTATACTGTAACCAAGGGAAAGATTTAGAGTTCATTTTCCTTTGAAGCTGTGTGGATATGACGTTCTCAATAAAGAAGTCCTTTGAGAAGGAGCCAAGTCTCAGAGTTCTGATCTGCTTGGGTTCGTTAGTCGGAGTTTTGACAATTGGACCAGAAGTATCATCTGGGGGAGGTCCATTGTAACTTTGAATGGTTGCTAAGCAACTGGTTGTAAATTGAGAGTACCTGTATGCTGGACCACAACGATAAAAGCTCTTGAGTTCAGCTCAACTCCAGCTAACTCCAAAACTCAGCTACCAAGTCTATGTAGTTTTCTTGTCCATAACATGGAATGTCATTAATTCTTATCTTCTTTTTTGAGATGTTGACTTCATAGTCTGGCCTACCACTCAGAGATTTCCCAGTATCCTGTCATTCAAGTATAACGAAGCCTGAGTATTTGCTTCTTCTTTTTTTTCAAAATCAACATCCTTGGTTAGATGTTTCTCCATTAACCTGTCAGCTCCGTTCAGATCTTGCCTGTCATGTGATGTGAATCCACCCTAACATTCCTTCCTGATGTTCAGACTCATATGAATTCCTTTCATAGTTGCTGGGTTCTATCGGGGCAGACTTAGATGAGAAAAGACAAGTCATGAGATACTGAATATATCATCCTGACCTCATTAGCTTCTGCTGTCATCCAATCTTCCCATATTTATTTGGAAAAAAAGGCACCAGGAGCTCGGTCCAGTTTGCCCCTTGTGGAAATGTTGAAGTGTATTCTTAGTGATGTTCTTAATCACATCAGTTCTACTTATGTCTTTCTCAGAGTTGGCTTGGCCACACAGGCCAACATATAGATGGAGGCATTTGATAGACAAATATGGATGATGGTGTCAAAGCAGATGATCTCATGCCACTTTTGGTCGCCATGCTGTAAAAAAGATGTTGAGACTCTAGAAAGAGTGCAGAGAAGAGCAACCAAGATGATTAGGGGGCTGGAGGTTAAAACATATGAGAAGGGTTTCAGGAACTGGGTATGTCTAGTTTAATGAAAAGAAGGACTAGGGGAGACATGATAGTAGTGTTCCAATTTCTCAGGGGTTGCCACAAAGAAGAGGGAGTCAAACTATTCTCCAAAGCACCTGAGGGTAGGACAAGAAGCAATGGAGAGAAGCATCTTAGAACTAAGGAGAAATTTCCTGACAGTTAGAACAATTAATGAGTGGAACAACTTTCCTGCAGAAGTTGTGAATGCTCCACCGCTGGAAATTTTTAAGAAGATGTTGGATAACCATTTGTCTGAAGTGGTGTAGGGTTTCCTGCCTAGGCAGGGTGTTGGACTAGAAGACCTCCAAGGTCCCTTCCAACTCTGTTATTCTATTCTGTTCCCTTCAAATTTTCTTGTTCTGCAAATGGAATTCCATGAATTCCTAAGGGGAAGCATTGTCAATTTCTCTCCATGAAGCCAAAATGCATGGATGGCTTGTTGTTGTTGTTGTTTTTAAATGAGTTTATTTTATTTACATCTCAGATTGATCAAACTCCAATGCCTTATTTCAAAGCAGAAGAACATCAAACCTGAAGCAACTAGTAATGTAAAGGAGGAACCAGCTGGTTTCTGTAACTACAGTATCCAATAGTATAACTACTGTAGTAGTACAGCTATGTAGTTGTAGCATCCAGTTTTGGTCACCGCATTATGAAAAAGATGTTGAGACTTTGGAAAGAGTGCAGAGAAGAGCAACTAAGATGATTAAGGGCCCGGAGACTAAAAGATATGAAGATCAGTTGCAGGAATTGGGTATGGCTAGTTTAGAGAAAAGAAGGACTAGAGGTGACATGATAGCAGTGTTCCAATATTTGAGGTCTTCCCACAAGGAAGAGGTGGTCAACCTATTTTCCAAAGCCCCAGAGGGCAAGACAAGAAACAATGGATGGAAACTAATCAAGAGACATTCAACCTAGAACTAAGGAGAAACTTCCTAACAGTGAGAAGAATTAACCAGTGGAACAGCTTGCCTGTTCTGTCCCCCTTCCCCACACAGGCAAACACACAACCAGGCACGATTTTATTAAGCAATCAGACTAGAAACCCTTGCAGATAAGAGTTTTGGCAGTAAACTGCGAAATGCCTGCCAAGTCAGTTTTCACTCACAGTCAGCAAGAGAGAGTTTATCCTCAGTCCGGTCCAGTAGCAAAAAGTAATCCACGAAGCAAGAGTTAGCCAAGGTCCAATCCAAATATGCACAAGCCGGATTTCAGGTAACGCGATGTGACTCTCAATTTTTAACTTTGACCGTCACAAAGCCTTCGGCTGAAGAGGTTGTAGAAAAAATATTTTTAAAAGCCTCTGATGATCCCAGCTGAGCCACGCGATCATCAGAGCCTTTTTTTTTTTTTTTTACTTTTAAAAGCATTTTTTCGGCCAAAGAGGTTGTAGAAAAAATGCTTTTAAAAATAAAAAAAAAGCCTCTGATGATTGCGCGGCTCAGCCGGGCAATCGGGGTGGGGGCAGGGATTTTTGCTACCTGTTTTCCGAACCACTCGCCTTCATCGCTACCGGATCAGGCGATCCGGTCCGAACTGGGAGCATTTCACCCCTGCTGCAGTCCTAATATTTCCAAACTACTAAACAAATCTGATCTTACTTAGCTTCTCAGCAGGGAGAAAGTCAGCCAGCTGTTGGCATCTTCTACGGTCTCCTCTCTGGTAGTAAGTTTCATAATTAATTTTTGTTTCGGAGTCATACAATGTGAAAAACTGGAACTTGGTGATCATCCAGTCTCCCTTGCCAGTCAGTGAAAAATGAAAACAACGCTTGATTTATTTGCCGTAAATTGTCCACCGCTTCAAGCATACCCTTGCAGAAAAGCTGGCGGTAAATCAGGGGTGTCAAACACAAGGCCCGCGGGCTGAATCTGTAATTTAATTACAATTAAAATTGCATTAAATATAGGTAATTGGATGAATCTCCATTCAGGTTTTCAATTGTTTTCCTTCTGGTGTCACATTAAAAGGTAAAGGTAAAGGTTCCCCTCGCACATACATGCTAGTCGTGCCCAAGTCTAAGGGGTTGGTGCTCATCTCTGTTTCAAAGCCGAAGAGCCAGCGCTGTCCGAAGACGTCTCCGTGGTCATGTGGCCGGCATGACTCAACACCAAAGGTGCACGGAATGCTGTTCCCTTCCCACCAAAGGTGGTCCCTATTTTTCTACTTGCATTTTTTATGTGCTTTCAAACTGCTAGGTTGGCAGAAGCTGGGACAAGTAACGGGAGCTCACCCCATTACGCAGCACTAGGGATTCGAACCACTGAACTGCTGACCTTTGGTGGGAAGGTAACAGCGTTCCGTGCTCCTTTGGCATTTAGTCATGCCGGCCACATGACCATGGAGACGTCTTCGGACAGCGCTGGCTCTTCGGCTTTGAAACGGAGATGAGCACTGCCCCCTAGAGTCGGGAACGAGTAGCATGTATGTGCGAGGGGAACCTTTACCTTGACTTTATAGGAAATTAATCTGGGCAGATTTGATGTGCTTGAAGCCAATCCTGCGAAACTGTGCATGGAGTAACTGATGATTTGTAAAAGGTTCATTTCCAGGTAATGAGGACTCTTGCTCCTTTGAGAACAGGGTCACTTAGACGGGGTGGCCCTAACAATCAATTCAAGGCTGAACAACTTCCCGTGGCCATGATGGCAGCTGTATTTTGGAGTGTGATTCCCCCCCCCCACCAGTTCTGTGGACTACAGTACACATAAGGTATCTGGTAGTAGCCACAATGACATCACCTAGACCTCAACTTACAACAGGAACGAGAATTTCCATCGCTAAGTGATGCGATCATAAATTGAGGGTATGCAAGAGATAAGGGGACCTTGGTGTTATCCGAGTTTTGTTGTTCCAAAGGTGCTTTTTTTCCCCAAAAAAAGGTAACTGGACTTTCTTGAGTTTGTCTTTGAAAATGTTTTCTGAAGCTTCTTCAGTTCTTCTTGGATGAGAAGCAAAACCATTTTTTAAAGAAAATACCAAGAAAGTCCGGTTGCCTTTTGAAGAAAAACGCATGTGGGACAAAGATGCTTTTTTTCAAGAGCCAACTGGACTTTCTGGTTTTCCTTTGAAGGCGTTTCACTTCTCATCCAAGAAGCTTCTTCAGTTCTTCTTGGATGAGAAGCGAAACATTTTTAAAAGAAAATACCAAGAAAGTCCAGTTGCCTTTTGAAGAAAAGCACCTTTTGGGACAACCGTATTCTGGACGATTTGACATTTTGCTTCCCGTCCAAGAAGCTTCTTTAGCTCTTCCGAACTGAAGAAGCTTCTTGGATGAGAAGCAAAATGTTTTCAAAGGGAAAAACCCAAGAACGTCCAGTTGCCTTCTAGAGAAAAACAACACAACTTTGGAACAAGGGAGTAAACCATCTCCCTCCTTTTTTTCTCCAGGCTGTGCCTTTCTTTTCCAGCCCACAAAGAGCCCCAAACGTTGTGTACGTCTCATCCTTCTGGCCATCCCTTAGTTGCAATCATCCCTGTCCTTCTTTTCCATCACTTATCCATGTTATCCTTTTGCTTCTCCAGGTTACGGCCACGCTGCCCCTGGGACGAATGCAGGGAAGGCCTTCTGCATGTGCTACGCTGCCCTGGGCATCCCACTCACCCTTGTCATGTTCCAGAGCCTTGGCGAACGCATGAACACCTTTGTCAAGTTCCTCTTGCAACGGATGAAAAAGTGTTGCCGGATGAGAAGCACCAACGTCTCCATGGAGAACATGGTGGCCGTCGGTTTCTTCTCCTGCATCGGCACCCTCTGCATCGGAGCAGCTGCCTTCTCTCATTGTGAAGAGTGGACCTTCTTCCAGGCCTTCTATTACTGTTTCATCACATTGACTACAATCGGGTTCGGAGACTACGTGGCCCTTCAGACGAAAGGAGCCCTTCAGAGGAAGCCGCTCTACGTGGCCTTTAGCTTTATGTACATCCTGGTGGGATTAACCGTCATCGGAGCTTTTCTCAATCTGGTTGTTCTCAGGTTGTTCATGAACATCGAGGAAGAGAGACGGGAGGCCGAGGAGAGGGCCTCCCTGGCGGGAAACCGGAGCAGCATGGTGGTCCACATTCAAGAAGACTCTCAACATGGACGCCCGCGGTACAAGGCCGAGGTGACGGATCTTCAGTCTGATTGTTCCTGCATGTGTTACAGGTCCCACGAATACACCAGCCGGGTGGTTTCCCACCAAAATTCCTTCAGCTCCAAGCTGAACCTCCAATACTTTCACTCCATCTCCTACAAGATTGAGGAGATCTCACCAAGCACATTAAAAAACAGTCTGTTTCCTTCTCCCATCAGTTCGATCTCCCCTGGATTGCACAGCTTTACGGACCATCACAGGTTGATGAGACGACGCAAATCTATCTGAAGGCATTTTCTTTGCAGGGTTTTTGGAGGGTGGGCGGATGGGTGATGTTTCTTTCCTAAGATTATTATTTTTTAAAACGAAAACAATTCCTCGAGTGAACCAGAGTGAGGCTAACATAAATCCAGGAGAGAGAGAGAGAGAGAAAACAAAACAACAACTACATATTCAAGGGAAGGACACCACTCCCCTGAAACTCAGCTCTGGAGCACGAAGCATGGACAGACTTTATTTTCCAGCAAAAATAATGCCTTACAATTAACCTTCCCGCTGCGATCCGAGATTTTGAGGCGATGGGAAGTGGGTATTTCAATTCCAAAGTTACGCACCTGTGAGCTTTCTCGTGCCCTTTGGCACTCTTGACCTAAAAAAAAAACAACAAACCACAAAAATCAAAACCTCTTTTTTCTCCTTCACAAGCAGGTCGTGTTGTGTGTGAACTGGGGGTGTGTATGCGAGTGTTGAGTGTGTGGGTACGGGTGCACACGCACAATTCCACTACTAGTGCCATGCGACTAACAAAAAAGTATCTATCGAAGCATCAGGTATATCGATTTGATTTTCTATCTATTCTTCCTCTGGAGAAATTGTTTTGTTTTTTTTTCTTCTGGCCTGCTTTCTTTGATCCCAAAAAGGGGGGAAATGAAAGGAAGAAAAATGGAGGAGGTAGGAAAGAGCTGCAGTTTTTTTTCAATTTCTTTTTCTTTTTCTTTTTTGCCAAGTCAAGCATGCACCATCAATGGTCAATATACTGAGCGAACCATTGTAAGTTCTCTCTGTTTTTTAAATGCTAGAAATTTATTAGATCGTATTAACTGTTTTTTTTTTTTAAATTCTTCTTTAAGAACAAGGCAGGAAAGGAAAATTACTTTTGCTTGCCGGGTCAAATCCTTATGGAAAATATATAAATATATACATATATATATTTAAAAAAAAAATACAAGCATGCATTTTGTAAACACGGATATGCATTATGAACATACACGAGGAAAACGATGATGGAACCATTGCTCAGAAGGAAAGTAGGGAGTTTTGAAAATGATTTTTCTTTTTAAACTTTCCGTTGGTGTGTCAAATAGCCACCAGGCTTGTCAAGCTCTCGGTGTGTACGTGGGTGTGATTTAAGAAACGATTGGTCAGCACGAATGGGTATTTTTATTTATTTATTTATTTAAAGGGGTCTTTCTTATTTATTTCGCCTTGGTGTTAAAGACGTCGGGTTCAGTGTGACACTTTCCTCGGTGCGAATGTCCTGAGTGTGCCTGGCAAGGTGTTTGTGTGTTTGTCGGTGTATAGTTGTACCTGCGTGCACAGGAATTCTACCTGGGAATGCTTGAACAAGAATGGTACACGGAAGTGGATGAATATTTTTTTTATTTCCTCACAAAAGAAGACAGGGTATCCCTTGTTTTTAATAAAAATAGAAACTGATATTAATACTAATACTAGTAGGGGGGAAAATGCTCAGGAAGGATTTCCCCAATGCTTTGAGCTTTGACTTGCTGAGGATATGCATGTAGGCCAAGTTTCTCTCTTTCTTTCCTTCCTTCCTTCCTTCCTTCCTTCCTTCCTTCCTTCCTTCCTTCCTTCCTTCCTTCCTTCCTTCCTTCCTCCTCCTGTTGAAAGAAATATCCATCTGGTTCAGTTCCAAGCTGGGAGAAAGGCACTGGAGACAAAATGGAGGCTGGAGGCTGATTGGAAAGAGGGTTTAATGATGAAGCAGAACCACCAAGCACATGGTTCTGGGCAGCTGACCACATCGAGTTGAGAGCGAGGGGTGTTTATACCTTCTCTTGAGTTTTGAACTTGAGCTTCCTGTTCCTGTGCAACAACATGTATTCTATTGGCTGTTGTAGGGGTCATAGCTGGCTCGGTAGGTTGGTTGAAGTTTGGCTGATGCAATAGGCTTGTTGGGCAATTCCTACTGTGGCTGAGGGCTAACTCTACCTTTGTTCAGACCTCGCTGCAGGGAATTTGCTTATGAATAGAGCTAGCTATCTCTTTATCGCTTAAGTGCTGACATCTGCTCTGCTGTGGGCTATTAAGGGGTCTCCAGGAGCATACCTCTCCATTTCTCATTCAGGGAAATATAATATTCTGCTTTTTAATATTTCTCAAAATACTGTATTTCATTCTTCTAGGAGAGGGGGGTCTCCCCGGTCTCCCCTCCCTCCCTCCTCCTATTCATCTTCCTTCTTTCCTTCCTTCCTTCCTTCCTTCCTTCCTTCCTTCCTTCCTTCCTTCCTTCCTTCCTTCCTTCCTTCCTTCCTCCCTCCCTCCCTCCCTCCCTCCCTCTTCCTATCCATCTTCTTTCCTTCTTTCCCTCCTTCCCTCCTTCCCCTGGCACAGTTAATATAGGCAATTATATAGAACTATTCTGCTTCCAACGATTGGTTTTAAATGGAGTTGCTTTAACTAGATGAGCATAACGCCAGACTCCTTGGAATTTCCTTCACAAAAATATACCTCTGAGGAGACTTCGTCATGACCCAGAGATTCCCCAAACTGAGAAGATTATCAGGGTGCAGTGAGAAACAAATGAACGTAGACAGGAGAAACGTAAGTGAGTCCTAAATACACAACCCACAAGACGAGACTTCCCCGCTGGGTCTCTGCAGGAATCCCTGTTCTTGTTTTAGAGTCTTTCCAACTTTAAGTGGGTAATTCAGTATGTCAGGACTGGATACAACAGGATCATTCAACCAGTGCAGCCATAAACTAATTTAAGAGGGATTTCTCTATGGTAGCGCCTCATAAATCATAATTCGGGGTGCACTAAGTGCTAATTAGTCTCCCTGAGGCCTGATCACCTAAATACTTATGAATCAGGGCTATGGCAGGTTGTGCTGACCAGAATAAGTGCATCCATAAAATTGAATGTTTTAAAACAGGGGTATCAAACTCGATTTCATTGAGGGCTGCATCAGGTTGTGTTTGACCTGGGCGGCTGGGGTGGGTGTGGCCAGGGTGGGCATGGTCAGCTCGACATCACTCGTGTCAGGGGTGCCTGTGGTGGCCCTAGCACTGTGCCAGCGAAAACGGGCTCCTGAGCTCCGTTTCCAGTTCCGACGGCTTCCTGCAACCCTCTGCCAGCGAAAACTGAGCTTGTGAGAGCCATGCACAGTTCTCCCGAGCTCTGTTTTCGCTGGCAGAGGCACCATGGCCGAATCCTTCACTGTTTCCAGGGCGGCCCCATGGGCCAGATCTGAGCGCCCAGTGGGCCAGATCCGGCTCGCGGGCCTTAAGTTTGACACCCCTGGTGTAGAAATTTAAGAGATGAGTGTGAGAGACTAGGTCAGTGATGGCTAAACTTTTTGCCATCACGTGCCAAAAGCGGGGGTCGCACAGGGGGGTTGCGCGCGCACGTGCCCACACCCATAATTCAATGTGCCCCGGCCCCCTGTGCATGTGCGTGCGCCCCCCTGCACCCCTCCCCCCCACTATTGGCACGCGATGGCACGGGGGGACTGGAAGACCCATTTTTCACCCTCCCCAGGCTCCAGAGCCTTTCTAGGAGCCTGGGGAGGGTGAAAACAGCCTCCCCGCCCCGAGACTCTCCAGAGGTTGGAAATGGCCTATTTCCCAACTTCCGGTGGGCCCAGAAGGCCTGAAAATCAGCTGGCTGGCACTGGAGCTGAGCTAGGGCAATGCTCACATGCCCACAGATATGGCTCCACATGTCACTGTGGCATGCGTGCCATAGGGTCGTCATCATAGGACTAGGTCTTACTTATGGATATTTGGAAAATCAGTCCTGGTTCATGTTAGACTACCTTGTGATCCTCAGGTTCCCTGTTCACACAGTCGCCTTGTTCCACAACTACACGCAGAGCAGCATGTTCTGAGCGTATTACTAGCTAAGCTTTCCCTTACTTCTTTTGTACCAGCAACTGATTGGAAAATCTCTGCAAACAACATTTCCCTACCGAGGTTAGGTTTTTAAAGAAGGGGATCTTTTGGCCCCCCAAAAAAGTTTCCCAAATTTCATCTAGAAATGTGCTTCCTTCTGAAGATCTTCCTTACTCTGGAGAAGCCCAGCATTGCTGTTGCCGGATTTTGAGTGTGCAAAAGATCGATTTTGCTATTCAATTACTCTGTGCTTTTAATTTTTATTTTCCCCCCAAATTATGCTTCCCCCATTTCTGCTGTTGTGCTGTTCTCTATCATAAATTGAAGGTTGCCTTTTCAAGAATCTAATCCCGTAGTTTTGATTATCCACTTATTTCGGAGGCGGGGTGGGTGAGCGCAAGTACCGTATTTTTTGGAGTATAAGATGCACCTGAGTATAAGATGCACCTACCTTTTTTGGTGAGGAAAAGAAGAAAAAGAAATCTCCCTCTGCCTCTGCCTTTGAATAATTTTGCCTCATTGCAGCATACAGCAAACAGCCTGCTTTACTTTCAGGTTCGTTTTCAGCATAGCTTGATTAGCACAAGGAAAAAAAAAATCCACTCCAGCAATTTCCATCTTTGCAGCAAGCAGCAGAGCCCTACACAAAACAGCTGAGAGCAAATCAGCTGAGAGTCGGGAGGCTGATCCAATCAACTTGTGCTAATTAGGCTGTGCTGAAGCTGAAAGGAGCTGTTTTTTCTTGCTGTTTGCTTGCAAGGAGGTAAATTGCTGGGAGGCAGAGGCCAAAGGGTGGGGGCCAGTAGGTGGACGGGGCTACATTCGGTGTATAAGATGCACCTAAATTTTCACCCCCTTTTAGGGGGGAAAAAGGTGCGTCTTATACTCCGAAAAATACGGTATATGGTTGATAAGATTAAACAAGAGATTATTGAAGACAATAATAGCATGTCGCACTACAGGTAGTGCTCAACGTATGACTACAATTGAGCCCCAAATGTATGTTGCTAAGCGAGACGGTTGTTCAGTGAACTTTATCCCGCATTACGACTTTTCTTGCCACAGTTCTTAAGTGAATCACTGCAGTTCGTAAGTCGGTCACAGGGTTGTTAAGTGAATCTGGCTTCTCCATTGACTTTGCTCGTCAGAAGGTCACAAAAAAGCGATCCCATGATCCCGGGGACATTGCAACCGTCATAAATATGACTTGCCAGTAAGGTCTGAGTTTTGGTCCCATGGCTGAGAGGATGCTGCAATGGTCATAAGCGTGAAAAACAATCCTAACTTTGAACGGTCACTAAATAAACTGTTGTAAGTCGAGGACTATATGTAGCAGGGGTGAAATCTAAAATTTGTTATTACCGGTTCTGTGGGCGTGGCTTGGTGGGGGGGGTAATGTGACTGAGTGGACATGGCCAATTTTTTTTTAACTTTTAAAACCATTTTTTACATGTAAAACCATGTTAAAAAATGCTTTCAAAAGGCTCTGACGATCCCAGCTGAGTTGCCCGATTGGCAGGCAACTCAGCTGGGATCGTCAGAGCTTGGATCGTCAGAGCCATTTAAAAGGAAAAAAAAGGCTCTGATGATCGCGCGGCTCAGCTGGGCATGGGGGGGAGGGGGCAGGGATTTTTGCTACCGGTTCTCCGAACTGCCCGCCGCCATCACTACCTACTCGCCCGAGCCGGTCCGAACCGGGAGCATTTCACCCCTGATGTGTAGTATGAAAAGAGAGGCATAGAAGAATGATAAAAGATATAGTAGAAACCTGAGATTTTTTTTTTTAATTTGATTTATATGCCGCCCTTCTCTGGAGACTCAGGGCGGCTTACAATGCGCTAAGCAATAGCCTTTATTCTTTTGTATATTTATACAAAGTCAGTTTATTGCCCCCACAAACTGGGTCCTCATTTCACCTACCTTAGAAAGGATGGAAGGCTGAGTCAACCTTGAGCTGGCGAGATTCGAACCTGCAGTAATTGCAGGCAGCTGATGTTAATAACAGGGTGCTTTAAACCACTGTACTACCAAGGCTCAGATTTACAGCATATTTTTCTTTTATTGTGTTTATATTAATATCTGGGATCGAATTAAGACATTAAACATTTCTACAATGGCAAGCCATTTAGAAAGAGATAACAGAATACAGAATAACAGAGTTGGAAGGGACCTTGGAGGTCTTCTAGTCCAACCCCCTGCTCAGGCAGGAAACCTTATACCAATTATGGCAACTTTCTTGCCATCATGTGCCAAAAGCATAATTCAATGTGCCCACGCATGTGTGCATGATGCCCCGTGCTCCCCCTGCTTTGGGCACGTGATGGCACAGTGGGCCCGGTAGACCCATTTTTCAGCCTCACCAGGCTCCAGATGCTTCCTCGGAGCCTGGGGAGGGCGAAAACGCCCTTCCCCACTACACCGGAGGCCCTCCAGAGGCAGGAAACGCCCTGTTTCCCAACTTCAGGTGGCCTGGAAGGCTTGAAAATCAGCTGGGCAGCAAACACATGTGTGCTGGAGCTGAGCTAGGGCAATGCTCGCGTGCCCACGGATATGGCTCAGTGTGCCACCTGTGGCACACATGCCATAGGTTCACCATCATGGCCTTATACCATTTCAGACAAATGGTTGTCCAGTCTCTTCTTAAAAACTTCCAGTGTTGG